ATGGATGGATGGATGGATGGATGGATGGATGGATGGATGGATGGATGGATGGATGGATGGATGGATGGATGGAACGAACAACAGAAGACTTGTCCATCCAGCCCCACATGTTGGAGCCAGAGTATGACCCACCACTAAATTGTTATTTAGAATTTCTGTCACATATTAGAATGCACATAAAAAGATATCTACGCTGCATTGGTAGAAACTAAATTAAACTTTTATGCCCTCCAGACTCCCAACTACACAACAAATTCCATTTAACGGCTAAAAAAATTGGATTTTGCATGATCATAAACCTTTAAGGTCATGTTTTTTCCAGTTAAGTTTTAAATTAAATACACATGGACAGTTAGAATGGCTTAATTGGCGATTCCGTCTTTACCTTCAAAACTAAATTAACCTGAATGCATGCCGAATTATCAGATTGTGTTTACGTTTGAAAATACACTTCATACAAAGCTTCAAATTATCCTGGCAACTAAAAACATCAGCTTAATATTAATGGAAAACAAATATCGACAGCCATTTCCAATTTTAGGTAATTACAACAAAACAAATCCATATTATTCTCAGATAATATTATATTGTTTTTTATAGGATGATGCCAATTACTTACAGATCCTGTCATCAATTTGTGATTTTATAAAAAATAGAAGAAATAATGGGGAGATAAGAACTGAAATKAAATTAGCCATTAAAGGCAGCTGATATTGCACATACCCAGCTGACCTCTGCTTTATTCAGACACAAACAGGAAGATATAAGCTCTGACCTCCACACCTCCTCAACCTCCCCTTTTTCCTCTCTTCTGCTGCCGTGTTGCACTTTAACCACTCCCCCTTCCTCCTTGACGTTCCTTCCTCCCTTTTTTTTTTCTTCCTCATTTATCTTCTGGCTCCCGTTGGCATCCGCCTCCTCCAGCAAGGCTGAGTTAATTGCCTGTTAACTGCAATAGAGGGTAGAATCTGCGCGCATTTAAAATTTTCCTGCAGCGCCGACTTGAAATGTTATCTTCTCAAAATAACCCTCAATTTTCACCACACCTGTGCATGTTTATTTTAACATCTTAATAGCCAGGAATGGTCCGGTACACATTGATACACACACTTCCAGACAGGTGAGCGCTAATGTGGCTGTCTGTTGTCTGTTTTTTACAGCTGGCTGGAAGCTCGATGTGTTTTTGATGTTCTTTGTGTGTGTGTGTGCGTGCGTGCGTGCGTGCGTGCATGCGTTCGTGCGTGTGTGTGTGTGAATACAAGAAGGCGTTTCTGTGCAGTGTGTCGTTCTCTCCAGCCTCTATCCGTCTTTGGTGATTGGTTGTAGTTGGCACAACACAGGGACACTCGTGAGGACAATGAATGACTAATTAGTTGTCTGAATTAATGACAGGCAGGCAAAAACAACCAAATGTTTCCTTGGAGTAGACTTGGACGTTCATTCTGCCTGCTTTTTTTTTTCTTGGAAATATTTATGCACATAATGACTGTTTGGATGAAAAATATTATTATAAATTATAATGATGGGCATGAAAGCTACAGCTTTAGTTGTTGCGATCCAATGTGTGTGTGTGTGTGTGTGTGTGCTTAACGCTGTAGTCAGTGCACATCGTTCTTGCTGCTGAAGTCTTAGTACCCATCCAGTGCTGTCATCCTGCATCACTTCAGGCTTACCATAATGAGGCAAGACCAAAGAAAATCAGACGTCTCAAAATAGTACGTGCAAAGTGCATGAAATCTGTTGTGGTTTGACGGCTAAGAAGAGTGCAAGTAAATTAAATTATTAAATTTTCCTCTGTTTCTAACAGACGAGTTTTCGTTCTGTCAGGTAAGGGGTTCAGACTTATTTTAGCCCGAGGAAGGTCCTCCATTTTTCTGAAGTGAAGGAACCTTCTTGCAGATTTTTTTTAATAATAGAAAAGCAGTGGCTTCAAGGTCAGCCACTGTGATTTATTTATTTTTTTTTCCTTTTTTGGTGTAGCTGCTGCCAATTTTGCCGATTGAACCAAAGCAAGGAGTTTTCTTTCTACAGAGGTTTAGAAAGCAGCAGATCACTTGGGTTTAAACCTGCAAATATTACTATTAGCTCAGAGATTGATGGTTGAATTGGTTCATAAGTGACCAGATGACAGCCTGTTTTTTTCAATTGCAGATAAATGCCTTGAATTCCCCCACCTCCATTTTTTATTTGTTTTCTTCTTTAAGGATGACAACTGGGGGGAAACCACCACAGCTGTGACAGGAACTTCAGAGCTCAGTATTTCTCAGGAGGAGGTTGTCGGCCTCGGGAAGGAGATCCAGGATCGAACCCAGGGTTTCTGGCGCTATCTACCCTTAGCTGTGGGTTCATGCGTGGGGCTGCTGGTTCTGGCCACCCCGCTGGTCTTCCTGCTTCTTCCAGCCGTGATGTGGCCCGACAGACTAAATGCTTGTGGCGCGGCCTGCGAGGGTCTCTTTCTCTCCATATCCTTCAAGATCCTCATGCTCCTGGTGGCTATATGGGCCCTGTTCCTGAGGCCGGGTCGGGCCTGCTTACCCCGGGTGTGTGTGTATCGTGCCTTCCTCACTACGCTTACACTCCTACTCACCATGTCTTACTGGCTTTTCTATGGGGTCCGGATCCTCGATGCACAGGTGGGTTTGAGAGGATTCCACTGTAAAATTAAAATTATATTGTTAATGGCTTTTATGATCGATTTTTCACTAGTTTATTAATTGTTGAAAACCATAGGTCTTCACCTCTGATCCTTTTGATCCACTGCCCTGCATGTTCGAGTTGTTTCCCTGCTTTAACACATTTGACTGAAATGATTGACAGGTTTCTGCTAAACTTGATGATGTTCTGAGTAGGTAATTTAGTTATTTGAATCAGGTGTGTTGAAACAGGAAACATCTTAAACATTGTAGGTATATGGGTCTAAGAATGGGTAAAGTATGAATGATTAAAATTATGATTTAAATACCTCTTGTTACAGGAGGAAACTTGACAAATCAATGATTTATCATTTATGAGTCTCAACAGTTTACCTTAAACATCAGTTCTTTGTGTTACATAAATCCCATCAATTTTATTAAGACACAAACAGACATTGAATTAGGTTTGATGCACTCATGTGTACCATTTATTTACAGATTAACATGATAACAAATTATTGCAGTTAATGATGGAAATAATGTTTCAGGGCTAAATAAAATGAGGTTATGACAGGAAATGTCCTAAACTAATAACTGGCAAAGTACCACACTCTAATGTAACCTGATCCAGATAAAACTCTCAAGAYGCAAACTAAAGATGAGCATAAAATTACTTTAAACATGAAACAAAACACATATAATGTATTTTGAGGCAAAAGGGTTTTAGGGATGTTTATTTTAAGGAGGAAGGTTTTCCTATGTTGCGTATAGAGATGCTCGATGTTGACTTTTTGCCGATATTCGATATGCCGATATTGTTAAACACTTAATTTCCGATTCTGATATTAACCGATATTACAAACCGATATTAAGCTGRCATCAAATATCTCCTGTCAGGGACATTCTGCCTGCTTTTACTTTGAWACCCCACTAGATGCATTCCATAGGTAAACATTGTCYGTACGAAATAAAGAACATTTCACATAAGTTATGGAAAAAGTGCCATATTTATTTTTAACATTTGTCTCAAACAAAAGTTTGAATCATGGTCTTGAATGTCTCTGGACCATGAGCTTTTTTTAACACATTTTGGTCAAAATCAGGCATTAATTTATCGGGCTTTTGTTATCGGAAGAAAAAACGATACCGATATGTAGAGATATTACATTTTCATGCCAATATCGGACCGATAATATCTGTAGGCCGATATTATYGGACATCCCTAGTTGCGTAGATAAGTTCAAAATGAGGCTGGGGAAACGTTTAAGCTATTTTTTTTTTTACCAAAAACTCATTAGAAGATGGAATCAACGTTAATCTGAGCACCGTTCTGTCAACAGCAACTAGTCAGATATTTTGTTCGAACAGGCTGTCGTGTCCTGCTGTGAGGTGGGTACCACGAGTTCAGCCCGAAACAGAGATAGCTGAATTGTTGTTCCCCAGGAACGTCCGTCGATTCGGTTGGCTGTCGGGCACCTGAGGTGTCTGTGTGACCTTCATGGTCCTGCAATCAGGACCCTGGTAGCGGTGATGGTTGTGCTGGTGTCGGCTCAGCAGAGAGAAGCCAGCTGCTGCATCCCAAAGGTTGATCCAGGCTTCACTTTGGACAAGACAGGTTTAAACGGAGCATTGAGTTAACTTACTTACTTGACTATCAAACCCAAGGAGTATGGGTCGGTACATTTACGAGGTACAAGTTTCTAACGTAGCTACGTGGAGACGAGGTGCTGAAAGAAAGGCCTCTGCATCTGGAGGTTTGTCAAAGTGTAAMTTGTCAGGATAATCAACAGTTTGTGGCATGGAGCCCGAATGCCTACTGGGTTGAGTTAGGTGACTAAAGAGAGAGGTGGTATGCCCTCGTACCAGTGTTCTTCCACTGATAACAGTCAGCAGATGTCGGGGGTTTGAGACTAGTTACAGGAAGAACAAAGTTCCATTTGTTTTTTGGAAGAAGGAGGGTTTTTGTAGGGATGCAGGTGAGTCATAAACAGGGTCTTGGGTGAGGATTCTGTCACCAAGATTTCAGTGTGGAACAAAGTCAATCTGATGAAGGTGGACCCTACATCATGCAGGACAGTGGGTCACAAGGAACAGGGTTGAAGACTTCTGGTTTTAGAAAAGTGTTCTGAAGTTCTTGCAAATTATTAGAACAAATAAGCTTGCTTCCMTAAGAAGCTAACAAACATACATTTTTATCATAAAAATTGTTCTTAGATTTTTTTTCCTTAATGATAATCTTTCAATTTAATAGGGGTTAGATCTAAATAAAGAATACAGCTCAACCAAGAAACATCTGCAGTTCTCCATGTCAAAATCTTATTTTGTTGCATCCTCTGACACATTATTATTGGGTCTTTTATTGTTTTTTTTTTTTGTTCAAAATTTGTGATGGATGGGTTCATACACAAATACATCATACTGTATCTAAAACATCACCAACTTWATATTGAATAAATCCCTTTTTAAGCARCAAAAYAGATCTGACCAATCAGGTCATTTAGGGTTGATCTGCAAAGTTTGGTGAGATGTTTTCAGCATATCTATTGTTTCCTTAAATTAAATCCTCATGGAGCTGCCTAAACACTTGCTGGTACAAAGCACCGCCTATTTACACAAAGCTCCTCCCTTGAGCYCAGTCGCCAGCAAAGCTCCCGCCCCACAGAGCACCCCTCACTTGAAGCATTGTTGTAAAGATGTGCWGAAGTGGGAGTGTCAGAAACAGTAGGAGGTTCTTAAAGTGACAGAGGCCAAGTTCAAGGTGTTTGGATGCAAAATCAATTTTATTTTTTGATTTTTATTGTTAAAGGGATCCCTGATTAGTTGTAACATTAGACTTTATTTGATAAACATATACTTTAACTGTAAAAAAAAGACTGTAAAAATACTGTAGGATGTTCAGTTTTTATCWTTTTTAAACTAAAAGTTTAAAAATATATTACACGGACGGGGCCATTTTATTTACACGCAAAGCATTCTGGGTAAATGATGATGTGGATAGGTCCTCGGTGCGAGGCTGCTAGCGAGCTATATCCACCCTGAAGGTTAATCTTGGACAATATCTGATGATCGACTCTTTTAAATGAAACCAGAGAGCGTTGACAGAGAGGAGAAGGTAGAAATGACTCAGCCTGTAACTGAAAATATRGATGGAGGACAACAGAGCTGCTTCATGGAAGAAGAACCTCAGCTTAGCCTGTTAGCTTTAGCGTTAGCCCCGATGCTATCACCATATTTTAGCTCAGTGCTACACATTCTCATCTCATCACTGAGGTCCTCCATCCACATGACAGAGAGGGGAACACAAAAATGACTCAGCCTGGAGCTGAAAATATGGATGGAGGACCTCAGTTYAGCTTGTTTGTCGCGCTAGCGCTGAGTTAATACATATAGCGTTGGTGCTAACGCTAAAGCTAACAGGCTAAGCTGAGGTTCTTCTTCCATGAAGCAGCTCTGTTGTCCTCCATCCATATTTTCAGTTACAGGCTGAGTCATTTCTACCTTCTCCTCTCTGTCAACGCTCTCTGGTTTCATTTAAAAGAGATATTGTCCAAGATAGCCTTCAGGGTGGATATACGTAGCTCACAACGATGACCTATCCACGTCATCATTTACCCAGAATGCTTTGCATGTAAATAAAATGGCTCCGTCCGTGTTAAAATAGATTTTAAAAAATTTGCAAAATTAAACACCCTACAGTGTTTTTACAGTCTTTATTTTACAGTCAGTATATATGTTTATCAAATAAAGTCTAATGTTACAACTAATCAGGGATCCCTTTAATAACAGCTTTGACCCTAAAATGACAGAAAAGTAAAAAACGTATATATAGTGTTTTAAATGGATCTTTCTGTGTGGTGAAACCAGGATGAGGATTACCCCGGTATCGTTCAGTTTGCTGTGTCCCTGGTGGACTCCCAGCTGTTTGTCCACTACCTGGCGGTGGTGCTGCTGGAACTCCGCCACGTTCGGCCCTGCTACAGCGTTTGTGTGATCCGCTCCACAGACGGAGAGACACGCCACTACAACATTGGGCAGCTCAGGTACGCCAGCAGAAATGCTAAAAAATAAATAAATAAATGAAATCATTCTCACAGTAAAAGAGAAGCCCTCAGCAATTACACACATGAATTTGACCTTTGTGCTACACACCAAGACACACATACACACAAGTCTTTCTGCCACACTCTCCTTGCTGAAGTATGTGTGTAATCGGAGGCTCATGTCCACAGGGAAGATTGGCACAGGCCGTAATCGAGTTACTCAGGAGTCTCCGCAGTGTGGAAGATATTCTGAGAGTTTGGGGGAGGGATGAAAAGTCCTGGACGTGGTGCTCGCTTTGTGAATGTCTTGCTTTGTCTCCCTTTTGGCATTAATACAACATGATTAGAAGACTGGCATTTATGTAAGATTTGTGTGATATAAACTTGAAGGTTTTTAGGGGAAAAAGTAAAGGACTTAAATCAAAGCGTCTGACAACTAACATTACATTAAGTTTATATTTTAGGTTTCTTCATTGATCTCTTAAAACTGCAGTAAATAAAAGAGCGAGTGCAGGGAGTGGTAAAGATAATTTGCGAGCTTGTTCGATGACTTTAGGCTAGTATCTGGGGTTTACAGCCAACTATCCAACAGAACTAGGGTGCAAGTGATATACTGCAAGACTGGGACAAAGATGAAGAATGTGTGAGGAAATAATAAATAATCTGATTCAGGTCACAGTTAGCTGGTTAGAGAAGAGAGTAATAAATCATTCTTGTGCATTTTTTTAAGTTTAATTAGTGTACCAAGAGATGACATTCCCTAAAAAAGAAGAAAAAAAAGCAGCCAAGTCAAAGAACTACTGTTAGTCCAAGRTTATTATTACCTCTTATCCTGTATAAATCATCTGTAATGTAAACTCTACTAATCTTTTTCTGTCTCTTGTGTCTTGCAGCATTCAAAGGGCTGCTTTGTCCATTTTGGAGTATTACTACAGAGACTTTCCACTTCACAACCCTGCGCTTTTGTCTGCCTCCAAACACCGGGCTGCCAAACACCTGGCTGGGTTAAAAGTCTACAACGTAGACGGTYAGTCACTTCAGAAACAACATGGCATTTCCTGCTATGCTGCGACATTCTTACATTTACTGTATGTCCCTCTTGCTATTGCCTGTGGTTTCTTCTTCTTTTTTTTTTTAAGAAACAAAGTCAAGTGGTAAAAAAATTAGCACCTGACATGACTTATTGCGTAATTTTTTGTTTTGTTTTTGCACGCTGAAGCCTTTACTTCCAGTACAAAATATATACCCCATCTCCTATTAAGCACACTCCAACTGCAGCAGCTTAATGCACTTTATGCATTGCCTCCCTGCATCCAGATGCACATAATCTGTAATGCCACATATTGTTCTCTTTCCTGCGGACAAAAGGATCTTCTGCTCGCCATCCATTAATCCCCCCCAACGGCTCCAGAACGCCGTGGCTCTCTGGATCTGTTGCAGGGGTATAGTACAGGATGTGGTGCTCTAATAGCGCATTCCACGCAGCCCATCCCTTTCCCCAGCACGGTGCAACAGAAAGGCCTCCAGGGGCCCTGCAGAATTTCAAGCCTTAAATAATTCATCAGAGTAACGCTCATTTCTCACATTCTCCCACATCTCTCCTTCCAGCCGCTCAGCCTGTCTCCAGCTCCTCCTGTTCAGTCCTTTTTTTTCTTTATCCCCCCTTCCCTTCCAACCCCCACAGACACACACACACGCCTCTTTCTTCCCCATTCATTCATMCACAGTCACCGCTCTTATTGTAGCAGGGAATATGTAGGCCAGGAGGTAAAGAGGCGCATGTTTTCCTGTTTACTCAATGCAAAATATTTACAAAGCTTCATGCCACGGACATATAGCGTATTTTATATCCATTTTTTTTAGCTCTGCTTTTACTGGCAGCTTCTCACCTGCATAAAATGTTGCCTAATCAAACCTAAATGCAGCTCAGATTATTAATGATTTATATCCATACCTGACCTGCTGCATTAAATCTGTTACCTCATGCATATGTACTAAACCTTCTACTATAAACGTGGAGAACGAGCTCTAATGGTTTCTGATGTTTTTTTCTCATACGCTCACATCAGATCTGATTTTTGCCCTTTGATGTGTAAAATAATTAGATCAAGCCGCACCCAGTAAAAAGGTTTCAGCAGCAGAGTTTGTGTGGAAATGTGGACTAAATACCCCAGGTAGCTAACGATGATTAACAGGCATAGATAGTCCAGATGAGCATCTTGTGGCCCAGAAAGGTTCCTGCTCACTGGTTTTACATTTCCAGCTATAAGATCTGAGTTCTCCTTGGACGTGGGTTTTCACCACCGCGCTCATTCGTCACTGGCGGTTGGTGGCGGTGGGGCGGCTCTCCTTCAGCGCGGGACTGATCTAATCAGTTTGTCCTCGTCCTCCGTTTGCAGCCCCAGGGAGCACGGCGGCTGCTCAGCCCAGCGATGGAAGTCAGCCGCGGTCTCTGGCTACGCCTGCCACCAAACGCAARGACAAYGCGCACAACGAGCTGTACTAYGAAGAGGCCGACTACGAACGGAGAGTTCGCAAACGCAGAGCACGGTGAGGAAAAACACCTGCATGWCAGGAAGCTGCACACACAAGGATACATGAGGGAGAAACAGGGAGCAAAGTCATTGAAATTTTACCCATGCACCGTATGAAAATTTAATGACTGTTTTACATGCAGCTAACGTATAAATTAGTCAGTTTTATGTAAAAGTCGCCGTGCCAAGCAAGCCYAATTACAAATTTGATGCAGTTTGCRCTGACGAGTCATCTGAAGCAAACATTTTCTAAACTGGGCTCCTCATTATCATTTAATGCAGATCCACCACATCCAAATAAGTTACTGGCTATTAGCCATGTAGAAACACAGAGCAGTTTCCAAATCCAGTGTTTCACAARTCCTTAAAGACCATCGATTTACTAMGGTTTGTTAGGATTAAACTGAGCCCACGTCTGATGAGGTCACAGCGTCGGTAAATACATTTTCAGACGAAGGAAATACTGCAAACACTTCATTTTGTGTTCTGTAGCTGCATCGCAAATATTAAGAAAGACTACAGATTTATATAAAACCAGGTGCATCAGGTTGGTGTGTTTACGTGTGTGTGTGTCAGGTTGGTGGTGGCCGTGGAGGAGGCCTTCACACATGTCCGGCGCATGAAGAAAGAGGACGAGAATGCGACACCGTCTGACATCATGGACGTCCACGAGGCCGCTCTGGCTGTATTTCCCTCCATGGCTCGAGCCCTGCAGAAATACCTCCGCACCACCAGGAGGCAGCACTGCCACAGCATGGAGAGCATCCAGAAGCACCTCGCCTTTTGTCTTGTTAATAACATGAGCCCAAAGGTAAGTGTGCGAATGCTGACTTACTTTTATTGCTGGGTTGCGGTCACGTTACCCGGATGGCGCGCAAAATTCAGATATGGGCAGGAAGTGATTTGCTCCAGTTCAAACCACAGCTAAATGGATCACAGGGAGTACGTTATTGCCCTAAAAGGGCTGGCACWGACGAGATATCGCGAAAAAATATGCGTACATTTAGGATACGATCCATATTGTCTTAATAAAAAAGATTTGTCGTATAATCTTGAGGATTTACCCAGCRTTGAGGYGATMGACATAAACTATCTGGTGTTGCAGACCTCGTATTATATGACGAGCMAGATGAAAGATGCCTCGAAGCTACAATTGTTTTGTTTCAGGTTTGGTCAAGCCTTTAGGATAAATGAAGCTTTATGTTGACTTGTTTCTGCCTGGGTGAGTAGTGRGCTGTGCTATTTTAGGTAGTTAGCCTRTAAAAACAATGCTATCGCTATGGCTAACGTTTTAACCCTTGTTATTTCTATGTGCTTGGATCTATTTATAAATAATRWATTTAGCTTCTGTAAACCCAAATTCCAGTAACTATCCCATAAAATATTTGACAATAAGATTTAAATGATAYGATCCTTACCTGTTAGAATGTGGTCTCRTTTCTGCACCTCCTGTTTTTAGTCGTAGATTGTTAATCCACTTTTGTTGTCTTTTTTTCTGACACACTACTTTCAGAAAAAACWAACTTTTTACTACCTGATTAAAGCAGTTGCAACAAACGTACACGGCACAGAATTTAGGTCTTTTGACGCTGGATTAACAGAAGGAAACGAGGCTGCATTTACTTCCTGCACCCCCGTCTTCAATTTGTTAGAAATCTGCAACCCAGCAATATGACAAAGGTTTGGTTTGAACAGGTTTATTGTATTGTGAAATATAATCATCATCATTGTTTATTGGTTGGCACTCATGCCTCACAGCAAGAAGGTCTTTGGTTTGATCCCCAGTTCGAACCTGGGGTCTTTCTGTGTAGTATTTGTATGTTCTCCTCGTGGGTTTTCTCCAGGTATTCTGGTTTTCCAGTTTACCTGTCCACCYGCAGGCTGCACTCAGAGCCTTGTCACTCTTGTCAATCACACAGTTCGGCACGCAGCATTATGAAAAGCAGCAACAGTGCGTGACAACTCCAACTCAGACTGATCATTTCCACCTGCTGCATGCATGAATGGCTCTTTTTTAAAAACAGGACGCCCTCTCTGTTCTCACCGAGATGCACCGCCGTGGATCATCACATGCAAATGACTCAGAGCTCTATTAAATAAAGGAATAATCTGGCTAATTTTAAAGTGGAGTTTGCACGTCAAAATTAAAAAAACAAAGTCTTCACATGATGTTAGCTGCTACCTGTCTACTTCTGAACCCAGGCTGCAGTCAGCCAAGAGGAGACCGCTGCAAATGAATCAGACATGCTCAAATCTGCTCCCACCCTCACAGAGCAGGATATCATTTTTACTGTGATGGTTTTTTCCCTCTGGACCAGGCTRCATTCGACTCACAGCCTCAGTCATTTTTTCACCTCATCCACCATGTGGCCTCTGTGCCATCTAACAGTTTGTTAACTTTCCCACAAACTGTATTCATGTAATTTGGATCTAAACAAAACATTAAAGCCATGAAATTATTTTGAGTATAGTTTTAAACATATTTAGAGTGTTTTTATGCACTTTTTTTATCTTCACCATTGATCTCTTACAGCTTAGATCACAGTTATTGTGAAATGTCCTAGGACAGCCAATAGCGGCTTTTCTTATTGAGGAGTTGGCAGCAGCGGTCATCTTACTCCAAGCTTAGAATAAAACTTAAGAGCCTTGGTTTAGCAGAGGAAACATGCTTTAAGCTTATAATCCTACAGAAAAGTTTCAACAAACTGTTGACAATTTCAGCTTTCTAACACACACGCTTCTTGGACATCCTCTGTGCTTCGCAATAAGATCTCAGATAAGATAAGATAAGATAAGATAAGATAAGATAAGATAAGATAAGATGAGATAAGATAAGCTAAAACTTTTGATCCCACAGTGGGGAAATTTGCACATTACTGCAGCTCAAAACAGGACAGGGTGAGATAGAATAATGAAAGATAAGTAAAAGAAAAACAAAAAACACTATACTCGTGATATATAACAATGTACATATACCTAGTACAGTACATAAATGAATGTATATGACGGTGCATATTAGTGATGGCAGTGTAGGTGAATTGTCCAAGTGACTGATAACATCATGATGTGTTATACAGTCTAACTGATGACATCATGATGTGTTATACAGTCTAACTGCAGTTGGAATGAATGACCTACAGAAGCGCTCCATCCTGCAGCGAGGGTTTGACTGAAGGAGCTGCTCAGCCCCCCCACAGTTTCATGCAGAGGGTGGTGGCGGTTGTCCATGATGGCTGTCAGCTTTGCCAACATCCTCCTCTCACCCACCACTACCACAGGCTCCAGAGGACATCCCAGCACAGAGCTTGACCTCCGTATCAGTTTGTCCATCCTRTYCCTGTCCCTTTCAGTACATCCAGCCCCCCAGCAGATTATTAGGGGTACTCTGAATAGTTTGAAAAACTATTAGCTAGTTGGAGTAAGACCAAGACTAAAGTTGAGTGCTGGTGTCTTAAAACTATGCTCCAATATCACAGCCTTTTATGCAAAAGCTTTTTTTATGAACTTTTCTATTCCTGTTAGTTTCACATTACGTGGTTATTCTAATGTGAATAATTCACAGTTCCTGCAGAAATGTCCCAGGCTGGTCCAGAACTGCTACAGATTCTGGCTCTTCAGATCAGCCAAACTGAGGTTGTTATAAGACCTTTTAACAGTATCTTGGTTATACCATTTTGTGGTATGAATAGGTTTAAATGTAATTACTAATCTTTGCATAAAAGTGACATAAAAATGAACATATTTGTTGCAGAGTATAACATTAATGGCTAAATAAATGGTTATCAAAGGGTAAATATTTCAGTGACATTGCTTTCTTTGCATTCAGGCCTTCCTCGAGACCTACCTCGGTCCTGGTCCGACCCTGCAGTACGGCCCTGAGCGCTGGATGGCAGATCAGTGGACTTTGATCAGCGAGGCCTCTGTCACCAGCGGCGTTAAGGAGGGGACCGAGTTTCTTCTCAAGTGTCTTGACTTCAGCTTAGCCGTCACAGTGAAGGGCATTCCTTACATCCGTCTGACCGAGGAGTACATCGACCCCAAGTCACACAAGTTTATACTGCTGCTCCAATCAGAAACCTCCGTTTAGTACCGACACAGTCGATTGGAACTGTTAAAAGTTTTCTGACTGGGTTTTTTATTGGGTTTTTTTTAAAGACAATTTTTTCTACTGTTTTTTGTACTTATGTGTAGTTTTCTCATATAAAGTATTTTGTCCTCGTATTGGGAGACTTGAAAGATCATTCATGATCCAAAAGAAGGTGGAAGGACGCTTGAATTTCTGCGTGGACGTTTGCAGGGCACAGTTTAGTCATTCCTCTATGCACAAACATCTGTCACCCTTTGTTTGCATCTGTCTGTGCGGCCTGCTGTGCTGTAGGAAAACGTGGCATTTAGCACTAAAGTGTGATTTTGAAAATGCAAAGCAGTACACGTCAAGTGCTTTTCTTGGAGGTCTACACTGGCGTCTGTTTCAACTAATTTACCCAGACTACTTTTTTTATCCTAATCATTATTTATAATCATTCTTTATTACAGAGGCATGTACAGTATTTATATGTAAATACACTTTATCCCAAGGATGTTTTTTTATAACGTCCAAGATTTTTTACCTTGTGTATTTATGCTTCATTTGATTGTGTTATTAAACATCATATAGCCTAAAGATATGTTTGAAAAAAATGTCAAAAACTACTTCCAACCACTAAACTGCTGAATACTTAATAGTTACTAAATTAGGAAGAAAAACTGAAAACACACTGTAACTGAGTGTTTACTTTGTGCAAATAATGGACAATACATTTTTATGCATAAGTGTTTATTTGCTATCAGTGACCTTAAAGCACAATACTAAAGGATCTTGTTTTAAAACAAATTTCTGGATTTGACATAAAACATTTAGGACATTCTTGCATAAGTCTGTTTAAAAAAATGAATAACTTATATTCTCATGCTGGCAGATGTTTAGGGAAGTGTTAAAATGAATAATTTAGTTTGAACGAACTGAAATGTTTATTTTTTTTTTTTTATTTAATTTGTATATTTTATTTTTGATGCTCTACTGCCATCTACTGGCCAAGACTGAAACAGTTCTCCAAATACCTGTCGGGATGTTTGTGTCTGAAGAAGTGATGTGTGTCACTTTGTCCTTTTTTTTGTGTGTGTGTGTGTGTGCGTGTGTGTGTGTATTTATGAGGCTTGTTGTGTTCTACATTCTGAAAGTATTTCTGTGWGAGTGTAGTTTTGTTTATGTCTGTTTAGGAGTGTTGATGGTTGTAAATACCTTCTCTTCTTCACTACACTCGTGCCTCAGTTATACTTCATCCTTGGCTCAACGTACATCAAAAACATGTGTGTGTGCGTGCGTGTATTTGCTTCATTGTGGGGACCATTTTCCAGAAAAACACAGCCTCGTGGGGATCCAATGCTCCTGGAGGCTGATTTTGGGTGGGGGTTAACGTTTAGGACCAAGATGTGAATTGAGTTTAGGCTAGATTTAGGATCAGGTATTTACTGGCATGGTTAGGTTTAGGGTAAAGGGTCAGGGTTAGGCTGTAGAAATGGTTGGAAAATGAATGGAAGTCAATGCAAGGTCCCCACAGGTTGAAAAACAAACTTATGTGTGTGTGAGAGAGAACGAGAACAGAGTCTGACTTCCCAAATCTACTGCAGCTAACCAGCTATGAGYTCCACACTGTCCCTGTCTTTTTATACGAAAAAAAAAATGGAAAATCACAGCAGCTATGAAAAACTTTGAAACAAAAATAAATGCTTGTATGACCTTTTACCCTTTTCTGTACTGTCATTTTTTTATAAACAGTAAACCCTCCAAGGTTTTTTTGTTTGAAGACCCAAAAGTTTGGAAACCAATCACGTAATCTTTACTGTATTTTGCTTTCCTTACACAGTTTACTGAGGCTCTATCTAGAACTAGATAAACTTGCTCTAGTGACAGTAAAATMATTTGTTTGACTCTTGTGTGAGCAGAGCACCAACTGTTTGAAACAAAAATCTGTTTCTTGAGTCCACAATTGATTTATTTCACCAAAACARTTGTTTGATAAACTGATTCTGGGAGGACCATCCTTTATCTTTTACCTGGTTCTTCCTTTCAGGGTCATGGGGTTCACTGGAGACCATATCAGCCGTCACTGTGCGAAGGGCGGGGTACACCCTGGACTGGTCTTATGGGAGGTCATGAATCACATTTACTCTAGTTTGGCCTAAAATGTCTGCAAACAGATGCCTGCATGCAGTGTTGTATAAAGTACCTCAAAGTGATACTTGAGTAAAAGTACAAGTATCTTTTCATAAAAATACTTTGGTAAAAGTTAACCCTTTCGTGCATGAATTATGACAAACTAAGTGTTTTTATACATCCTTAGGGATGTAAAACAAGGTTTGAAAAAATTTTTTCTATATTTTTTAAAGAAATAATTATCTGTACACTCAAGTGTACTTCATGTGTTTTGTACTGTAAAAAATATAAATGTAATAACATGATAATTATATAGGTATAGTTGCAATTCAGTTATACAGTTGTAATATGGTATTCTGTTGGAATTGTGGTTCCTCCACTACTCTGTAGTCCTGTTTGAGCTCTATTGATAAACGTAAAAGTTAACATAAACATAAAATTATGTTTTCACTAGGCTTTTTCATTCATCTTTAGGGATGTAAAACAAGGTTAAAAATAAAGATATATTTGAACTGAGGAGGATAGTGTAACAGAAGTCACAGTATCTGAACTAAGGCTGCACAATATATTGAAAATGTATCGTCATCGCAATAACTGCTTGTGCAATRTGCATATTGCAACAAATGCATAAACTGTTCGCATTTATGAGTTTTGTCACTCAGACGGAAGCTTGAAGTATTTCACCAATCAAATGGAGCCCTTCAT